TACAATTGATTGTGATTAAAAGCCAATTTTGAATTAAAAAATAAAAGAAAGGCAACAGGTTTCTCTGGCTCTTTCAAGGAACTCAGTTTAGAGAAATAGTTCACACCACATCTTTCCTTCCCTCACTGGAAGGCTCGCTGCAGGCTGACAGTCTCCTACCATAGTTGTAGAGCAAAGAGGCTTGGCTTTCATGACTGTAGTGGAATAAAAATATTAACTTAGGAAAAACTAATTCAGCTTCTATGGTTGGACAAGAAGCCTCTATGATGAAACAGTTATGTTCATAAATGACCTCAGGGTGGTAACCTGCAAGTGGGTGAGGGAGTTGACTCTGTGTGTCTCCGTTTGTAAACAGCAACGAAGCAGTTTTCCCTGTGCTGGTTCAAGTAGCTGTCTCTGCACTGGGGACCCTTATGAAGGACCCGGGGAGCGCATTTCATATAAAGTAAATTCCGGGGGAATTGACTGAATCCAAAGCAAAATTAGTGTGCAGACCAGTAAACTGACGCACGCAGTACGAGTATATAGTTCTCGGGATCTAAGTTCTAGGGTTTAAGTAAGAAGGAGAATACATTTTTGTGTGTGTTTTCTTTTGCCACTCGCTTGCCGATTACCTGGTTAGTATAGTTTCCTTTGGGCTCAGCAGCCGCAGAAACTCTTGAGCGTAGCAGGAAACATTTTTTGTGGATCTGGTAAGTAGCATTTATCTTTTTCATTAGGTAGCCCCCGATATTTTCATAAACACATCTCAGAGTCCCCAGAACTCTGCTGGGTATAGAAGATTTTTCAATAACTTCCTTGTAGGAGCTTCCCACAATGATAGAAACTCATTCCTGCTGTTCAGTTACCTTGAGACCTTCCTGATGGTTGACTACTTAATTCTCCAAATTCTGGTTCCCGTAGTAAAGTAACTTGCTCCTTCTACTCCTGGGGTTGTTTCCCGAGCAACACATTGTGTTCTTGAACCTGTGGCTGCCCACATCCGATCCTGATCATCATTCTTGTCTGCAGACAGGGCCACTTCTAACTTGTCCATACCTTCCAGGCTGATGTTCTCTGAAATCCAAGCCTTGATGACTGGTGACTTTGCTCCCAGTGCGAGGAATGTGATGAATGTCTATGTGTCTTTTGTTAAGCTTCTGGCAAAAGCCTGAGCACCAGACCCTGATCCACTGAGGAATGTCGGCTTCTGATACAACATATAAGGCATGTGATACGGTTATTTATGTGCACCTTCCCGAGTACTGGATCTGGAACGTGTATGCATTACCTTACAGGTTTTACAAGTGCTTTGGTCCTTCAGGGAAGACAAAGATCAAAGAATGAGAACTCTAGGGTAATTTCCCAGTGAATTCCTAGAATATAGGTACCCT